TAAGGTGGTTGACGCTCTTCTTTTGGCGCAAGAAAGCTAATTTTATGAGAAAGATCTAGGCAAAAGATTCACCCCAATAGAAGTTACGGATCTCCAGATATTTAAGAAACGGTGAAGGGGTAGAATCAGAAAACGCAGAGAACGCAGAAACAGAGAGATAGATCCAATCTCGGAGGGGCTCTCGCCCCTCCCAAGCCATGGGAGCCAAGGACCAGAGGGGAAACCCTTCTCCCATCTAGGGAGGAGGTCAAGGAAGAAGAAGAAGAAGGGGGCCCCTCTCCCCCTTGCTTCCGGTGGCGCCGGAGCGCTGTCGGGGGCCATCATCATCACCGCGATCTTCACCAACACCGCCGTCATCTTCACCAACATCTCCATCACCTCCCCCCTTCTATATCCAGCGGTCCACTCTCCCGCAACCCGCTGTACCCTCTACTTGAACATGGTGCTTTATGCTTCATATTATTATCCAATGATGTGTTGCCATCCTATGATGTCTGAGTAGATTTCTATTGTCCTACCGGTGATTGATGAATTGCTATGATTGGTTTAAGTTGCATGTTTTATTATTGGTGCTGTCCTATGGTGCTCTCCGTGTCACGCAAGCGTGAGGGATTCCCGTTGTAGGGTTTGCAATATGTTTATGATTTGCTTATGGTGGGTGGCGTGAGTGACAGAAGCACAGACCCGAGTAAGTAGGTTGTTTGCGTATGGGATAAAAGGGGACTTGATACTTTAATGCTATGGTTGGGTTTTACCTTAATGAATCTTTAGTAGTTGCGGATGCTTGCTAGAGTTCCAACCATAAGTGCATATGATCCAAGTAGAGAAAGTATGTTAGCTTATGCCTCTCCCTCAAATAGAATTGTAATCGTGATTACCGTTCTAGTAACATAGGCAATTGCCTAGGGACAATTCCACAGCTCCTACCATCATTTTTCCACACTTGCTATATTTACTTTATTTGCATCTTTATCCAAACAGCCCCTAGTTTATGTTTACATGTTCTTTATTGTCTTGCAAACCTATCCTATCACACCTACAAAGTACTTCTAGTTTCATACTTGTTTCCGGTAAAGCGAACATCAAGCATGCGTAGAGTTGTATCGGTGGTCGGTAGAACTTTAGGGAATATTTGTTATACCTTTAGTTCCTCGTTGGGTTCGACACTCTTACTTATCAAAAACTGTTGCGATCCCCTATACTTGTGGGTTATCAGCAAGTCCAACAAAGTGAGCTGGTTCTCCACAGTTATAGCATATCACATCTTTCAACTTGGGATCATAGTTGATAACAGCCTCTTCCTTTCTGCTTTGACTACTGTCAGCTTTGTCAACATTGCCTGATTTCCCCTGCTGCTCCTTCTGGGAATTAAAGCTCTTGGTCTTCTTCTTCTGTTGATTCTGGAAGGTGCTTGACTGCCCTTCTCCAAAACCCTGGAATTGAGGCCCAGGTTGGAACTGAGCAGGAGAAGGACCATACGACTGCTGCTGTTGTTGCATAACTGGCATTGCAGGAGGGAACTGCTGCGGCCACTGGTTGAAATGGAGGAATTGGACCCCCTGCCACGGCTGCATTCCTTGCACCCCCCTGTCCATGAAATTGCTGGATGGGGACAAAGTTACCTTGATGTGCTTGTATGCCGGGGGGGCTTGATGGTGGAAGCCGCCCATCTGTTGTGGCATCTGCTGGATCTGCCCCTAATATGAAGAACGGCTCTGGTCACTAGTCGCGCGAGATGAATCTCCTCGACCAGCTCCCCCTCCACCACCACGACGGCCACCTCCTCTGTTCCCCGTCACCCCCATCACCACCTCAGTGTATGTTGCTCTGCCCGATCCCTTCTTCCACAGATCCTTGGAGAAGCTGAACCTCTTTGGCTGCTGTTGACGCTTATCTGCTTCTCTAGCTGGGTAGCAGTCGCTCGCATCAAAGCTCTTGGCTAGGAACAAATCCTTGCGGATCCAAACTAGCCTGCCGCCGGCGGCAGGAACCCTAACCTTCCTTGGTGATGGAACGGACCAGAGCTGCCCATATATATCCACCAACTCCTCGTCATCACTCCGCGGACACGCCTTCCGCAATTGCGCCTCCTTTATCTGAAAGCGAATCTCCTGGTCCAATCCAACTTTATCCAACTCCTGCGTGCTGACCTGTGGGGCCCTTCTCTGTCCTGGATCCCCAACGGTCCTCGAATCCATGGCTGCATCTCGCCAGCGTAGTTGATTCTTCACCGGAGCTGCTTTGAACGGAGAAGGGCGGCAAGGTGACCCATATCTGGCTACCACTGGAATATACACACTCCCAATTGCGATCTCCATTCGGCCCCCTTCCTCCCTCCTCTGCTTCACCATGGATCTCGTCGGAACAGCCGCCATCTCGTCCTTTAAACGCGCGATGTGGACGACGCCTCTGCAGCCGCCCAATCCAGCACCTGATCCGGCTCGAGGTGTTCCCCTGACTGGAATAGCTGATCCGCCTCCTATTCCGTCACTCTCGCCATGATACGCTCGACGAGAGCCAGCTTGGCCTCTCTCGCCTTCTCCGCCGCGCGCACCGCCGCCTTCTCCGCCTTGTTCGCCGCCCGCAGCAGCGCCACCAGGTCTTCGTCCGGCGGTCTCCTCTCGCTCGAAGCGCCTCTCATCCCGAACTGGATCTGGATTCAAAACGACCCCAAACCGACTCCGAGACCAGAGCGACCGAGCGAGCAGGTCCGCGCGCTCGCGCCGGGGAGCGCGCTACCGGCCGACCTAGGTGGGTAGCGGTGGTTGGCGGCAGCCGCCGGCGTGGATGTGAGAGGCGGGGGCGAGGGCGGTGGCGAGGGCGGGGGAGAGGGAGACGCGGTCATAGACGCGGTGTCAAACATCCGGTCCTTATTATCTATAAATTGCAGGACGAACCAACAAGATAAGTGAATGTGTTACCTGTAGCCGGCTGCCATCCGTCCTGGTGGCATCTCCACTTTTCCCGGGAGAGCACTGGCAAGTGTAGCTTCCCTATGTGTTTGTGCAGACCCCGTAGCACGGATATTCGCCTTTCAGTTTGCACTCGTCGATGTCTTCAGTTTGCAAAGTCATTTCAACATTTCTAGGGTGTGTACCTGTGCATCCACCGTCGAGGTAGGGGTTGCCCTGGAGCAGTTGCACCGGTACCCGGGGCCGTTGGGGACGTCGAAGCATAAAAAGACGAATGGCCCAGTCGAAGTCGTCGGTGCGGTTGAGGAAGACACGGTCGCTGTAGGTGAACCAGTCCGCATCCACGAGGAACACGTAGTGGCACAACGTGGCGTTGCTGATGAAGGCGGAGTTGTCGTCGTGCTGCGGCGGGAAGTTGCGCTGGTGCGGCTCGAAGAAGCTGATCCCGGGCGGTATCGCGCTCTGGCAGCACCTGACGCCGGTGCACGGGCCCGGCAGGGCGTACCGGGACGGCCGGCACACGGACATGCAGCCGCTGACGTAGTAGCCGGCGGCGTCGACGAAGAAGCTGAGGTTGGGGCAGCCGAGCGCGACCAGGCGGTTCTTGGTGGACGAGAAGAGGTAGGGCTGGTGCCGAGGGACATGAACGTGCCTTTCCGGTCAAGGAGCCCGCCGGTGGAGTTGTAGCACTCCCTCGTCGCGTTGAGGTAGGCGCGGGCCTCGCCGGACGCGAGGGACAGGGGCCCCAGGCGGTGATTGTAACCGAACACGGTGAGGCGTGGCGGGGAGCTGCCGGGGCCGGAGACGTCGCACTCGAGCTGGAAGCCCTGCTGGCCGTCGTCGCGGTAGCAACCGGCGCCGATGCCAAAGGGGTAGGGGACGGTGATGTTGCCGCACCTGTCCCGGCACCCCGGCAGCGCCACGCGCTGAGGCGACGCCGCTGCACCCAGCAAAGGCAGCACGATGAGCAGCAGCAGTATGGTGGTGGTCGCCATCCTAGTTTGACATGGTCTCCTCTGGTTGGTTGCTCTGCTTGTGCTCCGATATATACATACGCGGTGACGTGAGCTTAGTGGATGATGGAGATGGACCGATGGTGGATGTGAATGCGATGAGCCGATTCAGGCAGGTGACTTGGCTGGTCTTCCATGGCGTGTTCGCAGAAAGTAGTTAAGTAGATCAATATTCAATTGCCTATTGCCAATTAGCCATGTGACCGTGTCAACTCATCTGCTTACTAATGTTCGTACTTTTTTCTTAAGCGTGTTTGCTAAACAATGGGAAATTTTTAAAAGTGTCCAATGAACAATGCAAGTTACTGCAATAACCCACAATGTTCCTTAGGTGAAAAATAGAGAAACCCTTAATATTTCTGTCATGTATCGATCTTTGTTGGGGTGTATATAGAGTACAATGGTAGGAGAGACTTGGACTACAAGACACGTATTACATGATGTAAACCAATTCTATCTCTATTTCTCCTTATCTCTAACCGAACTCAATTGTACTTTTAACACCATTCCTGGGTCATTGCAAAAGCAAAGCGGGGGATTGTGAGTGGATTTGAAGTCTTGCGCTTCTGTCATCTTCTCCACTTCGCCGTCATCAACTAAATCTTTGATAGCTGATGGGTCGACACTTCGGGCGATGACCGTGTCCCCTTCGGGCATGCTTTAGTGATGTCATGGTGGAGGAGAAGCTGGTGTCGGTGCTAAAACCGGCGGATCTCGGAAGGGGGCCCTGAGCTGGTGATCTTGGTAGGATGGTTAACAGGAAGTAAAGGGACACAATTTTACCCAGATTCGGGCCCTCTCGAACAGGTAAAACTCTATGTCTTGCTCATATAATATCGATTGTGGATGGGATACAAAATACAGGATGATCTACCTCGTGATCGTATTAGTGAGTTCTAATCTCCTAAACCCTTGAACATGTGCCTCTATAGACTAAACCTCTTGGCTTATATAGGCGACGGAGTATCTAGGGTTTACGCATGGCTAGTTACAATCTTAGGGATAAATATGCCAATCATTCAAATACGCCTTGGAGTGTACGCCAAGTCTCCAGAGAATTCCATCTTGTGTACTTGAGTGCCACGGCATGTGGGGCCCATTCTTCAATTGTGGATGGGTCCTCGGTCCGGCCCATGAATGCCAGACCAACGTGGTGTGCATCCTTCAATCCAAGACACCGTCAGCTAACGCCTCCTCCTCCTCCTGCGCCCGGTTGGCGTAGGAGGAGGAGCGGTACAACCACTCACTACTGGAATCGACGGCTTTGCCGAGTGCCGTAAACACTCGGCGAAGGCCCCAAAAAACTCGGCAAATCCTTTGCCGAGGGTTGCACTCGGCAAAGGACACCAGGCGTACAGCCTTTCGGCAAATAGAATTTCACCGAGAACCAACCATCGCGCACTCGGCAACGCCTTTGCCGAGCGTTTTTTGGGTACTCGGCAAATATTGGGACTCGGTGAAACATAACTAACGGACAACGGAAACGGCAAAAATTGGTACGGTTGCACTTGGCAAAGGTGATGGCTTTCCCAAGTTGTACACTCGGTAAAGATGTTTAGCAAAATTTAAAAGAAAATGCCGCCGTCAATGGCAACGGCGATTCATGCCCGCGAGTTATAGTGGCCCCCAGCTCGCGAGTCACCACTCGTGTGAGCAATGCCCTCTCCTCTGCCAAGCTAGCCGGTCCGCTGCTTGTGTGCTAGCTTGGCCGGTGGCTTGCCGGAGAGTGCGGGTGCTGCTGCTCAGCAAGAAGACGCGTCTATGCGAGATAAGTCTGGCCGCCGCTCTTGGTGGCGCCGCCGATGACGCATGTGGCTCGTGGCCTCTATGGTTGTTGGCACCGCCACTCGCCGGCGTGTGGTTGGTGAGCTGCTACCTTCCGGCCGTGTGCATGTGCTGCCACTTGCAGCTCCCTCGCATCTGCTGCTTCGCTGCTACATGCATGAGGGAGCTTGGTGGCCGGCCGCCGGCGTACGTGCTGCTAGCTGCTGCTGCTTTGCTCGGGCGAGCCGGTGAACGAACGGTGCGCACCTGAAGCAGGAGGTGCTCAAGAACTACGCTGGCAGGCTGCTGCAGCTGCTCGAGTCCTCCGCCATGCGTGCTTCGAGTTCTCCATGGATGTGTGCCTGTGTATGGGTGTGTGGATGTGTGAGACGGTGAGAGAGATGAGAGGGATAGAAGATAAGAGCATCTCCAGCCGCGCCCCCAGAACGGGCAATTTCTATTTGACGCGCGCGGGCGGCAAGCTGTCGAGGAAACGCTCGCAGCTGTTTCGTTCGCGTGCATGTTGGGCCGGCCCACTACGGGGTTCGCGTGCTTCTTTTTCCTTTGCTGATGTTTCTTTCGTTAGTTTTTTTTCTTTCACGTTTGGTTTTATCTCTTGTTTTTTTCTTCTGGTTTTGTTCCGGTTTTCTTCTTCTAGTTTTGTTTACGTTTCTTCTGGTTTGGTTTTCTCCTGTTTCTCTACTGGTTTTTGGTTTCTGTCTTGTTTTCCTCTTTTGGTTTTGGTTTTTCTCTTTTAGTTTTGTTTTTTCAACGAATATACAAATTTTCACTATGTTTCTTAATTTTGTTCACTGTATATTACACAAATGTTCAGTGCGTATCCGAAAATAGTTCAGCGGGTATATTCATCTTTTCAAAAATGTTCATCATATGGAATTGCCCTCTGAAGATAAATGTTCAATGTGTATTTTTAAATTGTTCAGGTTATATCACAAAAATGTTAAATATGTATTTTCAAATTGTACAGCTATATCACAAAAATTTTAAATACGTATTTTCAAATTGTTCAACATATATCACAAAAAAGGTTCAATGGGTATTTGAGAAATGTTCATTGTATATTACAAAAATGTTCAACGTATATAAAAAAATGTTGAATGGTCAACTATTTATTTTTGGATCAGTCAGTAAATATAGTTCTTAAGCAGTCACACATCATTTTGATTGCAATGATGCAGCAGCTTGAGTGGTAAGGAGCGCTAACTCTCTTATCGTTGGGTTGGGAGTTCGATTCCTACGTACAGCATTGTCTTTTGGGATTTTTGGCACTGGCTCGCCTCTTCTTGACGCACGCGAGCGTCAGCTAGGGGCTCCCCCAGAACGGCCTCCCCAAGTAATTTTTTTGCGCCGGCGCCGAAAAAACAGCACAGTCACGTCCCAGGAGCCCAATTTTCATCGGTCTAGGCCGAAATCAGCGCCGACGGACCCAGGCCGAAACCGGCGCGCTGGGGGGCGCCGGGGCGAGTGGATATGGCACGAAACAGCCGCGGGCCCGCCGAGTCAGCAAGACGGGCACTTCGTCGCCCTCATCGCCTCGGTTCCCGTGGGAACCAATGCCAAGGTTGCCGCGCTGCCGCCGCCGGTCAGCCTTGCCATTGATTCATCACGGGCGACGCGTCACGGGGCGGCGCGGTGACACCTCCCCTCCCGCCACGCGTACACACGGGCGCGGCTATATAAGCCGATGGCCTCCCTCGCTTTTGGCCACACCAGCCCTAGCCGCCGAGCTCTCCCTCTCCCGTGCGCCGCCGCTGAGCCCTCCCTCTCCCTCTCCCGTGCGCCGCCGCCGAGCCCTCCCTCACTCCGACAAGCGATGGCCGCACGTTTCCCCGGTGACGCTGCGTCGGCCAATGGCTTTGTCCGCCGCTCGCTCCATAAATATGAGTCGTGGCTCCTTGATAACCCGCAAGTATATGGGATCGCAACAGTTTTCGATAAGTAAGAGTGTCGAACCCAACGAGGAGCTAAAGGTAAAATAAATATTCCCTGAAGTTCTATCGACCACCGATACAACACTACGCACGCTTGACGTTCGCTTTAACTAGAACAAATATGAAACTAGAAATACTTTGTAGGTGTGAAAGGCTAGGTTTGCAAGACAATAAAGAGCATGTAAATATAAACTAGGGGCTGTTTAGATAAAGATGCAATGAAGTAAATATTAGTAGAGAGCCTTTTGTTACGAGAAAGTTATTTGTCCAAGGCAATCGATAACTAGACCGGTAATCATTGTTGCAATTCTATTTGAGGGAAAAGCATAAGCTAACATACTTTCTCTACTTGGATCATATGCACTTATAATTGGAACTCTAGCAAGCGTCTGCAACTACTAAAGATTCATTAAGGTAAAACTCAACCATAGCATTAAAGTACCAAGTCCCTTTTAACCCATACGCAAGCAACCTACTTACTCGGGTTTGTGTTTCAGTCACTCACGCAACCCACCATAAGCAAATCATAAACATATTGCAAACCCTACAGCGGGGATCCCTCACGCTTGCGCGATATGGAGGGCACAATAGGACAGCACCAATAATAAAACATGCAACTCAAACCAACCACGATCATCAATTAACCCATAGAACAAAACGGATCTACTCAAACATCATAAGATAGCCATACATCATTGGGGAATAATATATAGCGTTGAGCACCATGTTTAAGTAGAGATTACAGCGGGTAAGAGATAGGTTACACCGCTGCATAGAGGGAGGAAGAGTTGGTGGAGATGTTGGTGAAGATGACGGCGGTGTTGGTGAAGATTGCGGTGATGATGATGGCCCCCGGCAGCGCTCCGGCGCCACTGGAAGCAAGGGGGAGAGAGGGCCCCTTCTTCTTCTTCTTCCTTGACCTCCTCCCTAGATAGGAGAAGGGTTTCCCCTCTGGTCCATGGCTCCCATGGCTTGGGAGGTGCAAGAGCCCCTCCGAGATT